AGGCTTAGAAAACCCCGTACGATTGGCTTACCTTTTCTAAATTTAAAATTTTCTAAGTTTTATCGCCTGGAATAGAGCGCTACCTCCTCTAATACTGAAAAAAAACGTCAGATTATAATAGACAGTGCGCTACATAGAGCGCTATCTCCTCTATAACAGAGAATCCCGTCTGTAACAGAAAATTTCGTCTGGTTAATGTCGTCAATACAATGCACAGAGCAATACCTGCTTTTTCACTGGAAATAACGTCAGCTTATTATGGTCAACAATACGAAACCACATGTAGCGTCCTTATTACTGCAAACATTGTCAGCTCATAGTTGACAATACCGGTATAAAACAATAGTGCGCAAATATTTTAATTTCATAGAAAGCATCTGTCGATAATACAAAGAAGCCCCTTGATTGTCGGATATTTGTCGGACATATATAGGCGTTTGTATGGGATCGTAGGATTTTGAGCCGTGTTTCTTTCATAATGCTGGCAACGCAGATCCAGACCCGTCATTGGCTGTTTTCAACGGGTTTGGGGTCACCCAAGAGAACGCACAAAAAGACGGAGTCCTCGACGGGGAGCAGCGACTTCAACGACTAGCTCCGCAATGAACGTCGAGCATACTGCAGATGCCCAAGAGGTGACAGCTAAGGACGTCCGAGACGCATGTATTTCAGTCAAAACTCAGCAAGCATATCAAAGCAGCCTTCGTTCTATGTCCAAATGGATTCGCGACACCAAATAAGAGCAAGCGCCTGCTTTCTTTGACGCTAATGGTGACATCGATTTGAACCGTTTCACTCTGGACGAGTTTGATTCGTTTCTCATGGAGAAGAGGAAGACAGTGGCTATCAGTACGCTTAACGGGTATCGCAGCGCCCTGAAAGACTTGTATCGGCGCCAAGACGTGGCCCTGCCAAATAGGTTTGAGAAGAAAATGGCAACACTTTTTTCTGGGCTTAAGCGCATGCAAGCAACAAAATATCAGTCCGGTGCACCAAAAGAATCCGGAAAAGACCCCCTTCCGTACTCACTCTATCAACAGCTATGCAAAGCTACGCTTGTGCGCCAAGATGCAGGGTTTTCTCACTTCTTTCTAAGTACACAATGAAACTTAATGTGTCGGTCGGAATCAGTGCAGACGCTTTGTACTCAACATCTCAGTGGAATTGACGATAGTGTGGGCTGCGTTATGTATAAATCAAAGACGAAATAAGAGAGCGGAGGACCTAAGGACCCTCGACATCTATATGCCAACCCGTACAACCCGGATACTTGCTGGATAACGGCACTGGCGGTTTACTTGGCATGCCGTCCTACTCAGCCGCCGGGCCCATTATTTCCGGGCTCTCATCAAAAAGTTCGTTTTGGCAACGCGCTTCGTCAGCATATAAACAAAAAATCTGGTCAGACGCATTACGGTACACATTCTATTCGCAAGGGCGTGGCAACCTTTGGGAGAACCGGCGGTCCTTCGATAGCAAGTGTGTGTTTAAGAGTTGGATGGTCATTGGGAGGCGTTCAGGATCGCTATATTCGCTATGAGTCGGCTGGAGATCAATACTTAGGACGTGTCGTGGCAGGTTTGCCATTAAACCTGGACGATTTTGCTGTGCTGCCACCTCCCTTTGTAAATAACCAAGACGTCCACTTGCAGAAGTGTGTGAAAGAAATGTTCCCTATACTAGGGGAGTGCAGCACATTACAGGACATTCTAAAGCTGTGTATCGCCTCTCTGGTTTATCATCACTCATATTTAAGGGAGTCGATGCCTGCATCTCATCCACTGCTGTCGACGTTCCTGTTCCGGTACCCAGACGTTATAAATCACCTTGAAACAGCTCTCGTTCACGACACATCGCCCTGGATGAAACCCACAGGCGTCCCTCCCCACGTAGAGCTCTACAAGCAACTACGGCAAGTGCAAGCATCAATTGATAACCTTCCCCCAGTACTACTCGAAGGGATGTCCAATTTAATAGAGGAGAAGGAGGTAGCTGCCGGCAATATTACGAAGCAAGTGCTGGAAGCTACAATAGAATCGTTACTGTTACGGTCAGGGCTTGTGCAAGGAGCAACACGTCAAGCACCACAACCAGCGGTGCAATCAGGTGGCGATCGAGCATACTATTGCAGTGGAAAATTTCACTTACTTCCGGAGGAATTTGAGTTCCCGCGCACAGGCCCTTGTGATGCATGGCAATTGTGGTGGTTTGGGGACAGAGCGCGAGGATGGCCGCCTTTGAAAAAGATCCATCCACACGACTTGCCAAAGCGCAGTATGCGCAAGGCGTTCTCGGATTGGGCCATGATGATGAAGCATCTAATCGATGCGACCGCAACAGCTGGGCTAGCAATGCCTACACAACCAACACAGAAAGAAGCATCCATGATATTTAGTGTTGCCATCACCAAGCTCCAGTTACCTCCGGCAAAACACAAACGCCGTCTCGCAGAGCTATCACTTCCTACTGTACTTCGCTTAGTCCGTGAAGCACAGAGTGCTGACAAACGCCAAAGAGGTTCTGCTAATCTATAAATACTACCAATCATGTCACGCTTCGGGTGTAATAATCAAACCAATCATCTGACACCATACTGTGTAGGCCACCCGTTCTATTAATACGTTCTTTTCAGATAAGTGAATATAATTGATCCCCCTGAATATAAAATAGCCTTTTTGCTCATAGAAAAAAGCTTTTCCCGTCGTTTCAGCGAGTCCGAGCGACGGGACGCCGACAGCTAAATGTGGTAGCGAAGAGAACAAGAGGGAATGCATGTCCTCTCTGAACGAACCGCAAGTCGGGCAGGCGCTGGAACCCGATGTATCGGCCACAAGTGCCACTGCCGACCCGTTGAGCAGCCATCGGAACACGAGGTGCGTCTCATCCTTTGTTGTCGTTGATGCATCGTTGACTCGTTATACCGCGCAGACCCTTCAGTGCGTCAGATGAGGGCAGCGGAGACTTGCTGACAGTTCTCGTGCACTTCGGGCGGAATCTGGGTGCTCTCGTCGCCAAAGAAGTGGATGTTTCAAACTCCACTGCTGCCGCTGGAGAACAACTCAACACGTACGTGGTCGCCTCGGTTGGTGCCTATGCTGCATCCTCCAACCTCGTGCAGTGCCTTCGAGGAGGCGAAATTACAGCAAATCTACCAATATAACGAAGAGTCTTATACGAACAAAAGCTCTACCCATATGCTGCGACGGGCGTTGTCGAAGGCAGCACTTCTCCTTCCTGGAACGAAATGCTGGCAATATCATTACCTGCAGGATGGTCGTCAATAAATTAGCAGCGACCAAACCTCAGAGGTGGTGGGGGAAATGCAGATCTTGCACCAGTCACCGAAGGAGGAAAACATTTGGCCCTGAAACTCGAGCTCGTGGAGCGTGGAGGCAGCCACCAGGAAGATTTCTTGCTTGGCACGTGCATTCTTCCCGTTGCCAAGATCGGGTGTCAATTCCAGCAGACACGCTTGGCAATTACTTTTCCATCAGATGCCACAAAGGGCGTGCTAGACCATGCTTCTGGTGCTTGTGTGTATTTGTCGCTGCACGCTACCTGCCGAGGCCGTGTCCCCAGTTCGAGCTCTCTGGAGCATGTCGAAATTATAGTAGAGAGTTTCACGCCCGTTGTCGTAACTGGCCACGAAGATGAAGGAGCGACATTCGACTGCACAAGCTTCGCCGCCCTAATAAACTTCGGCGCTGATGGGAGCACTAATTCCTCACACGGGGTACTCGAAAATCACTTTACACTTCTTCGAGATGGACAAGCTCTTCCCGAACTCGATGCTGCCATGGAGAACGGGGCAATAAGAGTAGCCAAGAAAGTTGGCATTACGCCTTCATCTTCATCGACCACGGGCAGCGCTTCAGGGGTGTACGAGTGGTTATTCCCTCTCAGTTTTGCCTTGGGGGCTACGACTTGTCAAGATTTCTCAGCCGCGGCCGTGAGTATCGCTCTCTTCAACACCTCATCGGTGCCGTACAAACTTGCTGGTCGTGGTCAGCTCCATCTCGTATCAGCCGTGGCTCAAGGTTCTACACCTTTGCCAGTCCAAATCGGCGACAGTGTAAAGCAAAGCTGTGTGAAGTAACTTAAGTGACAAAGAAATTTTTAATTTTTATTTTCAAAAATTGACTTTAGAGCAATGGCGATTTAGTGCAGAGCTAACTGGTGGTCGGCATCAAAACAAGTTAAAAAAGTCCATCCTGTCTTCGCCCTTTGCTTCTTCCTTCCGAGCACCATCGTACCCGGCACCCCCGCGTTAAAATTCCATTTTATGCTACCTCGGTCGTCGTCGACACGTGCAAAATGCAACTTAGGCCACACACTCGACACGCAGACAGAGCCGTCGCGACTGGGCGATGCTGGACGACTCCATGAGCATTGAGCGGAAGATACGCTCCTCGCTGTAGCCTGCCTTCTCCAGCATCGTGATGCGCTCCAGCGGCTTGAACCAGCGCACGCGTCTCCGCCGATGTCGTCCTGCGGTTTCCTGCCTGTCCCCCGCCTGTGTTTTCTCCCGCTGATGCTGCGCCGCGTTCACTGAAGTCCTCCACACACATTGCGGGGTTCGAGCCAGCCCCACCGCTGGACCACCGCGTCGAGGCACTGCGCTGCCGCCGATGCCCACGCCGAACTCGTAGACGGTGACGGTGGACCAGCGTACGCTCTTGGTCGCCATGGCTGCTGTGTATGTGGCTGTTGGACTGGGGCGAGGAAGGAATGGAGGAAAGACCCAGAGGGCGTCGGCTGTATGTCGTTCACGCGCCCCTCCCGGGTGGCCACTCACTCGCGCCGCTGCCATGCAAGTACCAGATTTGGTGGATCTGCTCCATCCACTTACAAACACTCAGTGGCTTGCCTTGCGTTGTTTTTCCCAGTCAGCGCTCAGTTCAACATCGTCCGCTTGCCCAGAAAACAGAGCGCCGGATGCAGCTGCTTGAAAACGCTGCAGAGCATAGCTTCCATGTATGGATCTGCGCTTGGTTAACAAGATGGCGCGCCACTGTGCGTTGTCAGTGGCGGCAGCTATTCGTAGCAAACCTATGGAGTACGGCACGTAAAGTTTTGCACTACACTAAATCAACTTTGCATGACAGGCTTTTTCTAAAAAAATAAATTTCAAAAATTAAAAAAATTAATTACGGGACGTTCCACTTTGCTTTACACTGTCGCCGATTTGGACTGGCAAAGGTGTAGAAAAGATGGCTCACCACGGCGACACACTGTAATTCCAATCGCACCTAGCGGTGACAACTGCCGTGTACTTGGTCATGTCGCTTTACGCTTGCGCTGGTGGGATACTGCTGCTTGGAGCGCTTTCATCAATGACATTCCAGCTCGACGCGTTGTCTGCACGAACCGCTGGAATCGATCACCACGACCGAGAATTGCTTGGCTAGGAGCACTTTTACGTGGTCTTAATCGCCACCCTGTAGCTTCAATCAGCGATGCTGGAGGTGTGTCTGGAGTGATGGCAGAGCTACTTGCTAAGTCTTCATCGAGAGGAGAGAACCTTCCAAAGATGGATGCCCAGCAGCAACAGCAGCATCAGCAAATCTCGCCCACCACGTTAAACAACAGGGAGGCAAACGATACCGGCGCATTGTGGAGAAAGCAGCTCACTCATTTGCAGGCTGAAGGAACCGCTTAAGGTCTCCAGATTGAAAGGGTACGCTTCGCACATCATGTTGCGCACAAATCTCGCTGAAAAAAAGAAGCTAACTCGCCTTCTTTTCTGACTGATCAGCTCCAGAATGAAGTGGGCGCACGTTTAGCTACCATAAAGAATTGTGGGTTGAAGATCGTGGCCTTACGGGTGAGTGCTGTCAATCTCGGATGCCATTGGGTCGTTTTCTTTGATGTCTGTAATGACGCATTCACAGAAAGAGGTACGTTTAAAAGACGAACAGCTACAAAAGCTCATGGATCAGATTGAGTCTGCACAACGCCGCAAGCAGCAACAACTAGCCGAGCTACTGGGCTCTACCAATGGAAATGAAGTTGCTTTCCCTGCACACCCAGAGCACCAAGCAGCATCGCATCGGTTCACGTTGCTAGCCACGAAGTACAAGGTGCTAGATCGCGAATACCAAATCCTGAAGCAGCAGCTTGCTGACGCCAAGCAGTCTTTAAGCGCATACTCCGACCTGGAGAAACGCCATGACAAGCTCACCTTGTACAATCTGCTTTAGTACAGCGCCTACAGTGTGGAAAGGAGCAAGCAACCGCTCTTAAGGTGCGGGTGACTTAACCCCTTACCAGATACTACGCTGAATAGATGACTCATCATTCTTGTGACTTGATAGAAAGCATTACGGATGCAGGAGAAAGTGATTCGTCAATTTGAACAGACACTCGCACAGCAGTCAAAAGAAATACCAGAGCGACCATCAACACGTCTGCACGCACCGGAGGCCGATACACCAGATATCAACGGTGGAGATGGTGGAACGCGGGAGGTTCTGCTGCGTGTACGCGTCCAGGTCCTGGAGCAGCAGCTGCAGACGAATGCACGCCAGGCCGCAGCCGAAATGAGTGCTCTACGCTTGCGTATCCTGGAACTGGAGACGGCGGCGAGTTGTCGCACTGCAAAATAGAGCGGTGGCGACACTCGCTGCTCTGGATTTTGATTTTTTCGTTGGTCTGTCTAATTAAGAGACATATACCTACAGCAGAGAGATGCTGCTCTTCTCGTGTGTAAGGAATAGAACAACGGGCTACTGCTACTTTTTCTCATAACGGGATTTCTTGATGCCCAGGCCTGCAACGAATCCCTCGCCTTCCTTTCTACCCTCGTTGGTCTGTTCCGTCCACATCTTTTTCATGCCTTCCTCGTGAAAACCCAGCTTCTCCAACTCCTCGGGCTTCATCAGGCCCCTGTAATGAAGTTGCCCACTTGTCCATGCGGCACTGCAGGTAAGTGGCCGAGAGCGTCTTGCAGTCGATGTGGCTGTTGCGGTGCTCACGCATGCAGACCAGAAACTCCTTCATAGCGGGATCGCACTCACCGTAGTGGTCCAGTGGGAACGATCCTTTCTCGGGCGGCCGCTTGCTCTGCGAAGGTGCCTGCGCAGCGTTCATCCTTTCCGACCGGTAGTAGTCGATGTAGGGGTTGGGATTAATCCATTTATCCCACCCACCCACCGAGTCGATAAGAAAACTAGTGTTCGCTTTGAAAAAAGAAGAAAAAAATGTATAGTAACGTTTAAAGCGAATACTGTAAAATCTTATTTTAGTTTTGTTTTAATAAAACCTGATTCGACCGCTTTGCTTGATGGTAAAAACAATGAGGCAATCTGCCGGGTGATCGTTGTGTCAACGGTTTGATCTGGTCGGAGGAGGGACAAATTTCTGTACCTAATATGAGACGGCGTCAGCCCAAATCATACTAATCAACCATTTGGAGTTTTCGAGATAAACGGGGTTAAAGTTGACCATCGATATTTCGTACGTAAGTGGATAAATGAGCTAGCGACCATTTTGACTTTTCAAAAGTTTGATTTAGGTGTATCAGCAGAGACCAAGCTTCGAGCATGGAAGAACTTGCGGCATACGCTTCTGAAGGGACTATCACCGACAGGTCCACGCCAACACCACTGGACCCGCAACCAAGCAACGTGCCTCTCGACTCTGTGGCTCCAGTAGGCCAGATCGCCCGCGAACAAGACGTTGCTACTGACTACAACGACAGCAACAGCAATGCTAGTGAAGCTAGCGACAGTGACGAACTAGACGACAGCGGTGATGAAGATTACACGCCTGAATCGCAAGTTTGCAGCAACGACGACGAGCCCCTGACAGCGGAGAGCGAAGGAAGCGGCGCGGAGGATGCTGAGGATATGGACCACGATTTACAGCAAGAAGTCAGCTCGATTATTCAAGGCGACAAGTGCGATAATCGATGCGTGGAGGGCAAAGCCAAGGAGCTGGAGTCGTTGCTGTGTTCATTGTCGACGATGAATCGAGAGGAGAAGCAGATCAGCATCTACACTCTATTAGGAACACTGATGCAGGTGCCAGTTGACAGAGCGCGCGGCTACGGTCTCCGGGACAAGTTTAACTACTATCTCCCGTTTGTGGACAAAAGTACTTGCGGAAGGCAAGACCCGCCTGACTGTCTACGCAGACAACTGCTCGGGCCAAAACAAGAACAACTATGTCATAAAGCTCTTGTTGGCGCAGGTAGACATGGGGCTGCTGAATCACGTCGACTACAAGTTCTTTGTAAAGGGCCATACAAAGAACTCGTGCGACCGCGGGTTCGGCCACATCAGAAAGCATATCGCCAATATCGATTGCTGGACGGTGCCGCATGTAGTAGACGCGGTGAAGGCAGCTGCGTCAAACTCCGCGACGGTTCACATCCCACGTGGAAGCGAGCAGTTCAAGACGTACAAAGAGGTGTTGACGGAGTTATACAAGCGACTGGATGGAATACAACAATTCCAAATATTTTCTATGGACTCGTCCGAGTTGGGGGTGGTTTCTTGCCAAAAAGGACCTGATGACGATGTTGTAAAGAAGAATTTGCGGCGGAAGATTGACGGCGTGCTTACTACAAAGGAGAAGATTACTACGATGATGCAAGAATACGTGGACGTGCTGAATCCACCACCTCCGAACGTAGAGAAACGCGAAGCGATGTACTACAGCATCAGACCGTACGTGCCACATGAATTTCAAGGCGACTCGCTGTATGCCAAGCCGAGTGAGCAGGAAGGACTTGATGCGAAAGCGGCGAAGCAGGCGCGTCAGGCTCACCGTGCAGCCATGGCTATGACTGCTAAAGACAATCAAGACCGTCGTGGACGAGAAGTGGGTGAGTCTGCCCAGGCTGAAGCACCTGCAAAGAAGCGTAAGACAGCAAAGTAGCTATGGCGTAGTGAGAACAGAGTCAATTGTTTTTGATAAAACGAAATGATACTTACCATCCATGCATGTCGTGGGAAAAGTGGCCTTTTCTTGCAAATCGCCAAATGCCGTAGCCTAAAATTAAAAATGGTGTGTCTCCACACAGCCTTAAATTAGATCTCACAAGAACGGGCCATTTGCACGATGGTTGGTAAAACTGGAAACTTGGCCGAGAAATGGTGTATATTACTGAATATTAATTGTCAGCCACCAAAAATTCTAGACCATTTGGTCTAAATGGCGGGCCAAGAAGGAAGCAAATGCATCAAATGCAGACAATTTCCAAATGCTTGACTACGACGTCTTAAATTACAAATAAAAGACAGAATGACCCCTGATTTGGGCAGCCAAAACGACTGGTGCTTGCGTACAAGCCTCTAAAGCGGTCCTGTGCGACGAACCGTTCCAGCGTGTGACCAATTTCACGGGCGCACTTCACTATTATCATTGATAAATTTCGAGTGTGATTCTTCTGTCCAATCCTCAAATGCGTTGTCTAATAATTAGGTAGTAGTAATATATTACTGGCTGTTAATGTAATAGCTACTGTAGTAGTATTAGTTGTCTTCGCTCGCCAAACTACTAGCTATTGTAGTAGTTCAGTAGTAATTCGGTATCACTTGTCAATGGCTGCACCTTTACATAGTGGCACATTGTACCATCTACCTCTGGAAGCTGATAATCCGATACAAAAGGTCTCGTTAAAAGCTGTTAGTCAAGCCTTTACTATGCTATAGTCTGTACCAGTGTAGTTATCTTAAAACCAACAATCTTAAGTCTGCTGCTAGGCAGCCTGCTTGCAGTGGACCAGCTCTAATCTACCCGACCTCGTCTTTTGACGACTCCTCCACACTTATCTGCTCCTATTCTTAATCTGACCCTGCAAAAGATTATGACCCCAAGCCAAGCCCCCAGCGACGACTCCCCCAGACTCATTGGTGGCGACAACTTTGATGTCTGGAAGGATCACGTGTGTGAAGCACTCGACGGAAAACATCTTCTCGGCTTTGTGACGAAGCCCGACTACGACGGTGTCTCCGAGGACGAAAGCGAGGACAGCGGGAGTGACATGTCCGGCACCGACGATCCACCCAAGACCACGCCGGCGTGGACGGCTAAGGTCGACTCCGACGCCGTCGATTACGACGAGAGCGACGACGATGTCAAACCCCAACCTGGCTCTGATGAAGACTCAAGCGATGGCTCGGACACTGCGCTCAAGCGGATGGACCTGCCCGTGATCCGACTGTTTAACCGTCGTGAAGTACGTCAAGCACGTAGGCCGTAGAAGAAGACTAAGGCCAAGGCGCTGAACCAACGTGAGCGCCGTCGCCAGGAAGCCAAGACCAATACATTTCTGATGAAAACCATGGACAACACGCACGTTTGGCTGGTCAAGAATCTCGTCACGTCCTACGACATCTTCAGCTTCATTTGTGAGAAGTACGAGGGAGCCGTCTTTCACGGCGACCCTTACTTCCTCCAGCACTACCTGATCGAGATCAAGTACGAGGAGGGCTCTGATCTCACGAAGTTCTTCCTTAAACTTGAGAGTGCGATGAAAGCCGCGTCGGAAGCCACCGAAAAGGTGATGACGGAGGGACAGAAGTCGATTTACCTGTTCCACTCCATGCCCAAGTCGTGGAAAGATAACCTCCGCATTTGGAAGGACCAACAGAAGTATATCCCGTATGAGGACCTCAAGCAGAGAATTGAAGGAAAGGTGCGGGACCTCCAAGCTCAAGAGCGCTACACTTTGGCAAAAGGCACACCGGAGACTGCAGCGACTAAGAATAAGCGTGCTCTGGTTGCGACAGAACCTCCTAGCACTCCGTCCGCCCACATCAACAGCCTCAACAATACCTGCTCGTACTGCGCCCGCCCGCGCCACAGTTTTCGCCACTGCAGAAGTCTACAGAAAGATTTGAGAGATTGACATGTGAAGGCTGGCACTGTACTTCCTGCGAACTTTGCCTTTAAAGGCAATGTAAATCGCTACCATCCGAGGAACAAGGGCAAGAACAAGCGCAACGGAAACGGCTCTGGGGGCAACTACAACGGCAATCGTGGCAAGAATCGACAGCGCCAAAACCGCCAAGACAGCTCTGGTGATAACTACCACCGTGGCAAGTCCCACGAGGGCAAACGTCACCAGGACGACTAGAATGACGATGGTGAAGCCGATGGTAACCGTCGTAAGGTGTTTCGCCAAGAGCGCCGCGAGTCTGGCCTCATTGCAGTTGCCACCCCCATCAACCCGCCTCTGAGTCTTACAGCCAACGTTGATATGGACACTACGTGGACCATTGACGCTGCGTGTACGCATCATGTGACGCATGAAGCCCAGTGGTTCTCCAGCATCTCTGCGAGTGGTGGATCTATCACTGTCGGCGGAAAGAACAAAATCCCGATTGAGGGTATTGGACGAGTTGAGCTGGACGTCATCGACACCAAAGGCAACATGAAGAAGCTCTCCCTTCATGGCGTCCAAGCACGTAAGCCGTAGAAGAAGACTAAGGCCAAGCCGCTGAACCAACGTGAGCGCCGTCGCCAGGAAGCCAAGACCAATACATTTCTGATGAAAACCATGGACAACACGCACGTTTGGCTGGTCAAGAATCTCGTCACGTCCTACGACATCTTCAGCTTCATTTGTGAGAAGTACGAGGGAGCCGTCTTTCACGGCGACCCTTACTTCCTCCAGCACTACCTGATCGAGATCAAGTACGAGGAGGGCTCTGATCTCACGGAGTTCTTCCTTAAACTTGAGAGTGCGATGAAAGCCGCGTCGGAAGCCACCGAAAAGGTGATGACGGAGGGACAGAAGTCGATTTACCTGTTCCACTCCATGCCCAAGTCGTGGAAAGATAACCTCCGCATTTGGAAGGACCAACAGAAGTATATCCCGTATGAGGGCATCAAGCAAGGAAAGGTGCGGGACCTCCAAGCTCAAGAGCGCTACACTTTGGCAAAAGGCACACCGGAGACTGCAGCGACTAAGAATGAGCGTGCTCTGGATGCGACATAACCTCCTAGCACTCCGTCCGCCCACATCAACAGCCTCAACAATACCTGCTCGTACTGCGCCCGCCCGCGCCACCGTTTTCGCCACTGCAGAAGTCTACAGAAAGATTTAAAAGATGGACATGTGAAGGCTGGCACTGTACTTC